TAAGCAGTATCTCGGAAGCAAATGCCTCTCTCTCCTAGTGCCAACTTCCTAATCAGCACTCAGCCTTCTGGAACCCCGGGGAGATCTCAAGCCTCAGATGCACGTGTGGTTATTGCTCTCCAGCCCGCCAAAATAAAGCAGTTTTGCTGACTCATCTAATGTGTTGCTTTGGGCAAGGAGACGATTCCTGAGTTAGAAGAGGCTGCTGTTTCCTGACCACACTCACGGTCATTGCTGGTTTTCCTACTCACAACTAGGGGGCTTAAGAGGAAAGACATCTTCAAGGCCTGAGGCCTGCAAGGTAAACCCTGTACATTCCCTCTGCACAGAAAGCTCCTTTTCTTTATTGTCTGTTAGAGGTGCCGCCCTGTGGGCCGCTGAGGACGTCTGCAGTGTGCTCTGCCTGATTGCTATGCACGGATGTGGGACATTGAGCAATGACGATGGCTTCCCCTTAGAATCTGATTGTTCTGATTGTTGCTCTGGTGCCATGGTAATTACTAGACATAATTAGATAGTTATTTCTTTGGATAACGTGCACATGGACACACACACAGCTTGCATGTATTAAATCTAAGCTGCTGTCTCCATTTGGCTGCCAGGTCTGGTAATGAGCGATGGTCTAGACATCCCTGGGGCATGGGGTTGGGTGAGTGAGTTATTCCTGAGCTCAAAGGGAGCTAGACCACCCGATTCTGATCCCTATTCCTCAAATTGCTGGCTGTGTGGCCTCAGGCAAACTACTTAACTCCTCTGATGTTCTGCTTCATCATCTGTAAAATGGAAAGGATCTTAACAGTAGAACCTATTCATATAGATGTGTGGGAGCTAAAGTGGGTTAATCTGAGTAAAACACACACTAAAAGCTAGGTAAGAACTCAGTAGTGCCTTCTTAGGAAATCTGTATTCCTCCCATTAAAAAAAAACAAACACAAAATTGACCAATCTAGGACATAGTTTATTTTACCTGAAGGCTAAAAATTCACCCTGATATTTATGATTATTTGAAAAAGTGAAATTAAATAATGTTCTTACAACAGATTTCCTACCTCCTAACTGCCATGGGGTTTCTCTGTATGAGAAGCTCCAATACTTGCAAATATATTTTCTGTTATCATCCATGAGGCAGGGCTATGTCAGGCTCCACCAAAAGTTCGTTCATTTATTAAGCCTGCATTCACTGAGTGCTGCACATGACAGACACTGAGCCAGGCCCCGGTGTTACAGGGATGAGAGACAGCGAGGTGCAGATGGGCATCCAGTCAGTGAGGCTCAGAGGGGTAAGTGGCTGGAAAGGGTACGTGGAGGGCGACCTGAGAGCCACTAAGGGGGCCTCATCCAGCCTGGTGGGGACTGAACACGGGTCCTTCATGGAAGTGTGACCTGTGGGCTGAGATCCCATCTGGAAGAGAAGCAGAAATTATCTGGGTGAAGCTTGAGGGAAAATGGGTTTCAGGAGAGAATAGTCCTGGGAAGGGCTCAAGACTTTTGGGAACTTGACCCTTGGGAGGATTCAGAGAAATGAAACAAGGCTGGACTGAATTCTGAGACAGGTTGGGGTGAGGAATGAAGCCGGGGAGACAAGCGAGGAACTGGTGATGATGAAGCAGCAATGTTCCCACTTCATGTGCGTCCCAGCATATTAGATGTTTTATCTAAAATATAGCCATAGTTTCCAATGGATTAATTTAATTCTGGCCCTTGCAAGGTGATGCTCAACATAGAAAAGAGGGGATTTAAATGAGATTATTCTATTCTTGACTGTTCTTATAATCGGACATGTTAATCAGAATTCCATTAGGCACTCATGAAAATAGTTTCTTGCAAATTTTTTTTATTAAGGTATCATTTATATACAATCTTATGAAGGTTTCACAGCAACATTGTGGTTACTACATTAACCCATATTATCAAGTACCCCCCCACACACATACCCCATTGCAGTCACTTTCCATCAGCATAGTAAGATGCTGTAAAGTTAAAGTCAGTCACTAGTCTTCTCTGTGCTGTACTGCCTTTCCCTTGAACCCCATATATTAATTCACCATATATGCTTGGGTTTATATCTGGACTTTCTATTCTGTTCCACTGGTCTATGGGTCTGTTTTTGTGCCAGTACCAAATTGTTTTGAGTACTATGGCTTTGTAGTAGAGCTTGAAGTCAGGGAGCGTAATTCCCCCAGCTTTATTCTTCCTTCCAAGATTGCTTTGGCTATTCGGGGTCTTTTGTGGTTCCATATGAATTTTAGAACTATTTGCTCTAGTTCATTGAAAAATGCTGTTGGTATTTTGATAGGGTTTGCATAGAATATGTAGATTGCTTTAGGCAGGATGACCATTTTGACAATTTTAATTCTTCCTATCAATGAGCACAGGATGTATTTCCATTTATTGGTGTCTTCTTTAATTTCTCTCATGAGTGTCTTACAGTTTTCAGGGTATATAGGTCTTTCACCTCCTTGGTTGGGTTTATTCCTGGGTATTTTATTCTTTTTGATGCAATTGCAAATGGATTTGTTTTCCTGATTTCTCTTTCTGCTAGTTCATCGTTAGTGTATAGGAATGCAACCGATTTCTGTGTATTAATTTTGTATCATGCACCTTTGCTGAATTCAGTTATTAGTTCTAGTAGTTTTGGGGTGTAATCTTTAGGGTACTTGTGTGTATAATATCACGTCATCTGCAAACAGTGACAGTTTAAATTCTTCCTTACCAATCTGGATGCCTTTTACTTCTTTGTGTTGTCTTATTGCCATGGCTAGGACCTCCAAAACTATGTTGAATAAAAGTGGGGAGGAGGTTTCTGCGTCACTTCTCACACCACCATCTTTTTCCCTCCCAGACTAGATATTCTATAGGACCTTGTCATGTTCTTTTTTTCCCTTCCAGTAACAGCAGTCTTTATCTTCATCTATTTATTGCTTCCCATCTTGCCTTCTATATGCATGGTGTTACAGGTTGAGTTTATTCTCCTCAGTTCTTGCAGTTTGAGACTCTGGTGGCTGGATGCTGAGATGCTGAGTGTGGTTCCCAGAGGAGGAGCCTGGAGGTGCTCTCACTGCTCAGGATGTCCGCTGCCTCTGTGACATCTCCCTTGCTATCCCAAGACCCCTGGTTGGCTCATGAGCTCCTTGAGAGAGTCCCAGGTATAATCTGAAACAGGCCCCGGAAAGTGGAAGGTGCTCCAGCTGTTGTAAATGTTTTGATCATTACTCATTTTTAGGATTGAGATTGGGATGTAAAGGCTCCTATTCATTTCGCATTTATCAATGCTTAAGTGGAGCATGTACCTTCATGTAGCAAAAAAAGCAATACTTACAGTGAAAATGAATCATGTATCATCATTGACATGGTGTCAGGAGCCAGCAGGGAAGCTCTCAGGCCCTTCCGTTCAGTCAATTGCAGCCATAAAGCAAAGGGCTGGACCTTGCAGTGCTTTACTACCAGTCTCCTCCTCCAGGGCACTGGCCCAGCCAATGAGAGACTCTTCCTATCAATGAGCACAGGATCCCTGGGCTCTGCCAGGGAGGATTCACCATACTTGGAACTCCCAGTTTCCTCCAAAGGACTATTTATTTATAAGAACCCTATCCAATTCCACCCTTTCTCTTATAAAAGAGTGTTCCCTTCCTCTGTTCCTGGGACATGCCTGTTGTTTTCCCACAGCTTGCTTGTCCCAAATTGCAATTTTCTATTATTATAAATAAACTCATTTTTGCTGATAAATTAACTGACAGTTTTATTTTTAAGATCAAGAGTAGAAAATTTCTATTAGGAATGAAACATCAGTTGCCAATGTGATAAAGTTAGACTATGGTCTAACCTTCAGCATCTTAGCATTTTACTGATTAAGTAAATGTGATATACCCCATACAATATAGAACTGGAAATATAAACATTATCTTCAAAGGAAGTGGCATGGATTTCTTTTGGCAGAAATGAGTAAAGTTATCAGAAAAATAGATCTTCCATATAATTTCCAGCAAAAACTAGGAATTTGGATAGTATTCTAAACTCAAAGGCAGTAGTCTTGGAAGAATTCAGTAGTACTTAATAGACTTATGGTTAATTGGTTAATCTCATACCATCCACCTCATCAATTGGAAAAGCACATAACATATTATGTTATTTTTTCTTAGAGGACTCTGCATACCAGGAAGCTATATTGTTCAAGAGTAAACATACTGTGTATATTTTAATGATACGTATATTTTGGATGTAATGATTTAGGTGGTTGTTTGGTGACTCTTACATATAATACAATTCCTCTTTGACACAAGGCAGAATAAAATTAAAAGTAAACATTTACCAACTGTGTATCAGATTAGGGACTTCATACATTATCAAAGTTGCCACTTGCAATGTTCATATGAAATTAAAATGATTTTAAAGAAGTGAAAACTGGGTTCTCATTATTAGATCATAAGCCAGTAAGTCACCTAATCTGAATTTGAACTTGGCTCTTCCTTCGTGCTTAAGCTCTTCACACTGTGCTATCTTGTTACCCAGAAGGACATGTTCCTTACAACGCTATGTAGTATAATGGTTACAATAAATAGAACATGGTTACTTTAAAATAGAACATCTCTAATAGAATTTGAACTCTCTTATCAGCTATATAAGTAGTTTGGGTATGTTGCTGAACCCCTACATGTCTCAATTTTCTTATTCTTAGAATGGGAATGATAATATTGCAACACAGACTAGTTGAAATGATCAATATGTTTACTCTTTGAATATATTGAGTTTTTACTGTAACAAAGTGAAGTGAAACATCCAGGCCTACTACAGTGATCCGAAGAGGTCTACTACTCCAAGACAGAATGGAATTAAACAGTGTAAAATCTCTTATTATTCTTCCCCCACCCCTTGTGGAGAGTAATTTTGATGTATGGCCAGAATCGAAGCCCCCTGTTGCACTGAAGAAATTCTATTAGCTGGTGGTAAAAGGGAAAACATCAAAGCTTTTATTTATTTTCTATGACAGTCATCAACACCAAATGGACTACAAAGATGATGAACTACGGAGAAACCTACTAGCCTTTGGGGTAAGTTGGCCCTGGTTAAATATTTGGTTCAAGATGGGAGAAAGTGTCATGTAGAAACCCTGTTAATGACCATAGGAGGAATTTGAGTCACTCATCACTGAGACTGTAATATAGCTCTCTTAAGAAAACACTGGACATCTTTTAGACCTGTGGGTAGAAATGCAGAGGCATAATCTCATGGTAGAAAACACCCTATCATGGAACACTGGAGAATGGACTCCAATCTGACCATGCACCTCAGGAGGCTGAGCTCTGGGAACTCATACTCCACATTTTAAATTAAGAAATTGGGTTGAGGGAAGGCTGAGAGGAATGCTGGTCACTGCCTGCTGCCTCCATCATACTAACTTCCCAAATACATCTGGGAAGATAGTTTGACTCAATCCGTTGTCAGCCAGATGTCCCTTCCGCTTCTGCCACTTCTGAAGGGAGTTGGTGAGAATGGACAGAAGTCGGGGGAAGTGAGATGAGGGGTGGCCATGGAATTGGTGGGAACAGCATGAAACAAAACCTGCAGCAGAAGCTCTTGCCCCATTAATTTATGCTTGAATATTCTACCACTTCAAGTACTGATAGCTCCTTTATGAGAAAAATAATAATGGTCTCTTCTTCAATGTCCACTAGTTTGTGACCATTGTGCTTTTTATTTCCCTTTCTCACAGGCCATCGAGATCCTGAGTGGAACAGTAATCCTAGCTCTGGGTTTTCTTCTGGGTTCCCTACAAGGCCTATTTAATTCCTTCGAGTACTTCTCTTTCTTTCTCATCTATACAGGCTACCCGATATGGGGCCCTTTGTTTGTGAGTATTCCAGTTCCCTTGACCATATATCATTTCTTAGTTACCACTGCTGGAAAAGTGCCTGATTATTAAAGTTTTGTTCTTAGGATATTCCAAGGTTGCATACTGTATGTTTGAGTTATAATTCTTGACACAAACAGGTTTTAAAAAGAAGAAGCCATTCTTTCTGATTAAAAGAAATCACATTTGCTGAGTATAAAATAATTCCCAAACATTTCTTAATAATCAAGTATTAAATTTATTCATACAAAGAAGATTGAATTGAGAGTGACTATTGGTGAATTTCCTTGTGGTGCAACCAAGAGACTCTTGGTCTGCAAGTTAAGAGATTTGCTTGTTGATTACTGTCTGAAAATCAGAAGAACAATTTTCCCTATTTGGGGTGAAATGTAATCTGTAAAAATGGGATTTGGATCTAGGTAATTTAAAAAATTATTTATTTTGCTTTGTCATTTCATTATAGCTTACCTGAAGGTTAATTTTTTTAAAAGTGGTTAATAGGAACTATTTGTTGATCAGCCACTTTTTTATGGTTGTTTATTCTATTAGCTAGACCTCTGAGAATTTATACATGTTGAGTCTTAAACAGAACATGAAAACAAAATTGCTACCCTGAAATCTAGGATGAAAGTATTTAGTTGAAAATAGTGAATAGAACTTTTAATTGTCAAATGAAGAAAAATCAATAATAAGTCTTTTTCTCTAATTTCTTCATGCTTTTCTTTTTCCAGAATGACTGACCCTCCAATCTCCTTTAAAAAGAAATTGTACTAATGTCGCCAAAATCTCTTGGCCAAAATCAGATTTCATATTCTGACAAAAGATTATGTTCTGTTTCTGAACACTGTCCAAAACATGTAATTTGGCTTTAACACTTCTGAAATCTTCAGGGAGTTAATATCATCATTTTGAGGGAGTAATTAGATTCTGAATTTTTCTAGACAACTGAGGTACATATTAACTTTGCATAATGAATCCTGACTAGCTAAGTGGAAAATTTCCATATTGTAGAAAATGAAATAATGAAATGTTTCAATTATTCAATTAGTAAAGAGTTTTCTTTTCTCAGAATGTGAGGTCAGTTTATCCAAAGAGCCGTGGTCATGGAGCCCGAGGTTACTATCCACACACCAAGATTCAAAACTGACCACTGGATTCCATTGCTGGAACCTTCTCTCTGGCTCTGCATCACCCACTGAGCAAGGTCTAAGGTCCAGGACTAGCACAGAGCCTTCACATCGGGCCTTACCTCCAAGGATACCCCCAGCTCCCTGCTTCCCTCTGTATGCACGCCCTGCTGTGTACTCACTGTGTGATTCCATTTGCCCATTCATTCTCTGACTACTCCTTACTAACTGTGTGACTTTGGGAAAGATGTTTGAACTCCTGTCTTTCAGTTTCTTAACCGAGATTAAAAGGTCATATGAGGATCTCTCCCTGAGTCACTGTGAAATTAAATGGAAAGAAAAACCTAGGAATTATTAATAACTTGAGTGCTTTCTGTATGCTGGACACAAATCTAATCCCTTGCTTTCTGTATGCTGGACACAAATCTAAGCCCTTTTTATACATTATTTCATTTTATCCCCATACAGCTACAAGAAAAATAATATTAACATGGGGATATGTACATCTCTATTTTACAGAAAAAGAAACTGAGGCAAAAAGGGTTTAATAATCTAAGGTTACCGACTGAATATGAGTTGAAGATGGGGTTTGAACACAGAACATATGCTCTCAACCATAAAGCTATAGTGACTGTTCCTTTATGTTCAGCCAGAAATGAGTAATTGAACTTCACATAGCAAGCCTTTGCTCTCCATGATTTTGGCCACTTTTCCCTCAAACCGTAGGAGTGGCTTGGTAAATGGTTTTGAGTTTTATGAGGTAAAAAGCAAAATGATATTTTGAGAACACTGTGAACATATAGAGATTTCAATTTATCCCACTTAGAGTCATGGAAAGAATAACATCTCAAACTAATAATTTAAACATTAGAAGAAATATCGATACAGACACTTAGATTTGTAAAGGTCTCTTTAGAGCATCTAGTCCAAAAAATCAAAAAGCTACACAATACAAGGAGCTTTAGTAAGAATGTGATGATGATATTTCATATATATATATGTATATATATATGTAAGTCAATTTTACTTACATTTGGTAGTAATATAAGCATGTTAATAGTTATATTACATTGAATACATTTATTTATTACATGTTTTAATATACATTCACTCACACAAACCTGCAAAAAAACATACAAAACAAAATAAAAACATTGTAAGTTTACTCAGTATTTGAGCCAATCAAAATATTGTTTGTTTAAAATGATGGGCAGCATCAAGTAAAATTTTGTGTCCTAGGATGTGAATTTTTAAAAGGAGTTTGGTCTGACTATTGCTAAATGTCTGCTAATCAAGGGAGGACCAAGAAAAAGCAGTTGAGAATGAATATTCCTTTATCTGCTTCTTTTTCCATTTTCAAACAGTTTATTGTTACAGGATCCTCATCTCTTGCAGCTGGGAAAAACCTCAGGAAAATATTGGTAAGGTGAAAGTTTTTCTTGTTTTTCTATGACAGTAGGAGTAAAAAATAGGTTATCCCTTACTAGCGGGAGGAATAGGGGTTGGTGAATCCAATTGAGGCACTGAGCCTCATGTAATCACAAGAAAATCAATGATCTTTCTCTTAAGGCATTCTGATGGTGGACCATCAGAAAACCACATAGATTGTGAAAACAATTACTGGGATGGTGACCATGAATATTTGCTGAATCTAAAGCTGAGCAAAAGGCTTCTTGACTTTTATATGTTGTTAAATTTGACCCATTCTTATTATTTTTAGTCTACACTCTCCCACCGCTAGTTCTACAATGGAAAGCCAAAAATTCTAAACCTTAGCGATTCATTAAACAGTTAATAAGCCTGTGTTATGAATGCTCTACCCATTTATACTGAGCGTGTTCTCTCCCCTCCTCCTTACATGTCTATTCCACCTTTAGATTCTAATCTCAAACACAAATCCCTTTTCTCTCATCTTTACCCTCCGTTGATGACCTTGCTTCCTGTTCTGAGAAACAAAAGCCATCAGAAGAGAATTTTCAGACCTCCACTATATCATCATGGGCCATATCTGTACCCATATCTATTTATTCATTCTTACCTCCTACCATAGGTTACCTTTCTGTGATTACCATCAAAGCCAGCATCTCTTCCTACTGCATCTTTTAAATCAATTTATGAGCATCCAGTTATGCTCTCAACACAAAACAATATCTTGACCTTATTTTCTCCTGCCAGTGACAGGCGCAATTCATTTTTCCTTCCTTAGCTAAACTCTGTAAAAAAATTATCTATACTCCATCTCCAATTCCTATCTACCACCTTCACTAAACCCTTTCCGCTAAGGCCTTTCTTTACTATCACACCTCTGCATCTCTCTTTAAGACCCCTGAAGACTTGCACACTGGTAGCACAGAGGTCAGGTCTCCATCCTCGTCTCCCCTGACCCATGAGCAGCTGTTAGCACACGGGGGGCACTCCCTCCTCCTTCCAATAATTTCTTCACTTGGCTCCCAGGACACTTGGATTGGCCGGCTTTCTGCTGTATTTTCAGTCTCTCCTTCTTAATCTCCTTTCTGAGATCTTCTCTCTGGCCCTTTCATGTTGGGGTGCCCCAACTCAAATCTTTCTCCCCTGCTCTGCCTAATCCTTTGGGGAGCTCACCCATTATCAGGGCTTTGAATGACATCTGTATGCCCACAGCCCTGAAGTGAGTACTTGCAGCCCAGATCTCTCCTGAGGATGAGGCGGGCACATCTAATAGCTTCCACCTAGAGCTCTAACAGGTCTGGACTCTGCTCCTAACCTTCGTCAGGCCTTCTCCACCCTCTGTCCTCCTCATGTCAGCTGATGGGAGCCCCGTCCTTCCAGGTTCCAGCACAAGGCCTTAGAGTCACCCTTGATTCTTCTTTGTATGCCAATCTTCAAGTTTTCAGCAGATTCTGTTGGCCTTACATTCAAGCTAAATCTGAACTAGACCTTTTTCATCTTTGTGCTGAGCCCTTTATCCAATCTGCAGTCATCTTTCATAACTGGGCTTCTTGCTTCCACCCCTGGTCCTAAACTAGTCTCACTGGAAACATTTTCAGAGTGTTCCCTTTAAGATGTAAATTTAATCATGCCACCCCGTTGCTCAGAAATCCTCTAGGGGCTCTACATTCTCCTCAGAGTGAGAACCACAGTCCTTCCCATGACCGACCAGGCCCCCTGCTCACTCTGCAGCTTCACTTCCTAATACTGGTAACTCGGTCCCTGCCCTCCAGCCCCATTGCCCACTCCCCCCCACCTCCGCTTCCCTGGGACACCCCAGAACCCTCTGGCCTCAGGGCTTCGAACTGAGTTTCATGACAAGGACTTTCCCCCAGACACCCACATGGCTAGTCCCCCAGCTACTCACTGCCTCTCCCCGTGTGTCATTCCCATTTACTGTCACAAGCCTCCCCTCCTCTCCCTGATTCATGCCCAGGTCCTCCTCACTCCCCTCATTACCCCACAGGACTCGATCACTTTCAAGGTACTGTACAACCTGTTAGGGTGCTGAGTTGTTTCCTTTGTCTTTGCTGCTGAAATGTAAGCTCCACGGGGATGGGCTCGTGGTTCACTGATGTTTGCCCAGCATCTGGGATGTTCTGGCTGTGGAAACAACCTTGAATTGGTATTTACTTAAATGAAATATAGCCAGAGATGACATGACGTATGTGCTGCCTGTATTAACTGAAAATTCTTATTGTTTTTTTAGGATGACCGCATGGTTGGGAGGTACATTGTCAGTGCTATAATCGCACTGGTTGGAGCTATTTTGCTTTCGGCAAACTTAGCATTTAATAACGTGTCGTTGAAAAATTGCGCATTATCACCATCACCGGACTTGTGCCTTTACATGGGCACCTCGAACAATGTATGTTTTAAAAATTATGTTTAACTATAAAATAGTTCAAACAGTCCAAACTATACAGAAAAATAATACATCAGATTCCCTGCCTGGATGTGAATCTTGGCTTTGCCACTTACTAGCTCTGCCATGAAGGGCAAATTAGATAAGCTCTCCGGGTTGTGACTTTCTCATCTTTGAAATGAGGATGGTGGAGTACCAAGCTGATAGGGGCTGTGAAGGATTAAATAAGTTAATATTTAATGAGCAATTGAAACAGTGTTTACATTATTAATATTGCTACTACCACTACCACTATTACATTCCCAAGAAATATTAAAAGTTTCAGATTTTAATTCACATCTTGCATAATAACATTAACAATGGAGATTTATAATTTTCTCTGTGTTCTGGGATTTTCAAATAATGACTCATGGAAGTTGGAATGATTTCAGTTCTGAATTTATTGAGTGTGTGATTTTCAAAGGGAAGTTCTTCAGTAACCCTCCCAAATTATTTTTGTTGTCGTTGTTATTTGTGGCTAGGGATTCTCTCTCTTCTCAGGTCCAGTTAGTTATTAATGTCTTTCTTCAAATTTGTTCATTTTCTCCAGGATGCTTTATGAGCTGTTCTTAGTGACTCACTACTAACCCTTCTGTTTGCTGACACTGCTCATGGAAGTTCCTGTCATCATTTTATTATATTTTTAATTGTCTTAGTTTATATTTATAATGCTCTGGTTTTCCCTGGGATTTTGTGTATTTTCCCTCCAGAGAAATTTTGAATTTGCTTCTTCTAAGGGCCTCAGTGATAGTGGAAGGATCACCAGCCTAGCGAATTTGAGTTTAATACACTTTATGAAGTCCTGTTAATGAAATAATGAGATGTCATTTTTTTTTTCCATTTCCTAAACTGCCTACGTATCTCCCTAGTTTACTGTTACTCAGATTAGTAGATCTTGTTGTTAGGACTAGAATTTTGCCTCTATAGCTTCTTCTAACATGATTACTTCACATGGGTTGGTAGAGAAATACAATGTGTCATTCTCTCTAGGGAAAATGTTTCCATGTTTTTAATTTGACAATGTGTCTGTTTGGAGTGTTGGTGCGTATCTGTGTCTTCAACCTAATTTGTGGTTCACTTCTCAGTTTTATGGAAAAGATACATTGTAATTTTGTTTTCTGATGACATTTTTTTCTAAATGTTTCTACGGAGTCTGATGTAAGCCATCATATCCCCTAGGGCCTGATGACTCTAATGCTGATTTTTACCTTACTGGAATTGATCATAACCATCTCTACCATAGTTATATGCTGGAAAAAATATTTACATTTTTGGTCAGGTGAGTTTGTTTAAATGACTAAAAATCCACGTGGTCAACAACCTCCCTCTAGGGTTTGAGGTTGTGTCAGATTGTAAAAAAAAAAAAAAAAAAAAGAAACTTTTATGTGGTTATGATTTGTCAGGTTCCTAGAATTTGAGATGTTATGAGTGTGAGAGATGAAATGAAGTTTGGAGAAGAATTCTGGTGTGAAAATACAAGAAAAAATATAGAGTATTTAATATCTAAGAGCACACTTTTATATAGATAGAGTTTAATTATTTTCTTGTATTGTCCCTTCTTAGTTGTGTATTGAGGAAAAAAATCACGAAGTCTTTCTAGATCGTGGGTAATTTAACAGTAAAATGAGAACACTTTCCTTCTCTTCTGCATATGTAATACCTCAACACAGTAAGAATCAGTGAGTGAATGTTATTGGTGACAATCCTGCTGATGACAGGAAGGGATGGAGGGCGAGGGAGGCAGTGAGCCTCACCTTGGAGGTCAACACTGTTTTGTTTTTCAGGCTATTTCATCAACTTCTAATCTTGGGAATCAGTAATGCCTCCTGATGAAAGAAAATTTGAAAGCAAGGAACTTCCACCTAAGATCTGCAGCAAATTACAGCTCCATCCAAGAACCAGGAGAACATGAGCCCATGAAATGCAATCTTTCTCTCAGGGCATCGATGAGAACCGTGGACACTTGACTCAACCTTTCTGTTCTAACCATGAATCCATTGTTGTGTCCTGATTTGGAAGTTGCTTCTTTAGACATTATTGGTTTGTACTTCTAGGATCACACTCCCATGGTATTGCCAGAAATTTGTTCTCTCTCTTCTTACCCACCTACTCCATTGCTTCATAAGCCTTAAAGAGGGCGGGTAAAACATTCCCTATCTCATGTATTCACTCTTAAATACAACCTCCAACCGCCCAATGAGAAAGTGGGTCAGATTTTTTTTATTACAGAAAAATGCTTCTTGACTTGACCTGACATCAGCATTGCAAAATCTGTCAAAGAAAAAAACATCATCATCCTTAAGATAAATTTTCCCTGTATTTGCGGTAGGAGAGTGAAGCTTCACAGGTTTCATTTAAGTCAGCTCCTGAGATACATGCACACCCTGATTTAGGATGATCATCTAGATTGGGGATTTTGGATCAAGACCAACATTTGTTCTTCAAAGGATGATGAGAAGAAGAGAGAAATAAAGAATAAGGGCTCAGGAATCTCACAGGGCTGGGTTGGAATTCTGACACTGTCACTTATTACATGTACATGTGCAAATTTGAACAAGTTATTTAACCTCTAACTTATGTTTTTCTCATCTGTAAAATGGGTGTGATAATATCAATTACCTCCTCAGGTAAAATGAGGGGTAAATAAAGGTACAGCGTTTATGAAGAGCACCCTCCCTGCACACTGATGCTGTCGCTGCTGGTCCTGCTGCGGCAGGTGAGGCTGAGGAGGGACGTGTCCCGTGTGCAGGGAGGACGGCGGCCCCTCCCGCCTCCACGGTGGCCCCTTCTACACCCTCCTGTGACGTCAGCGGCCGTCTTTTGAAGGTGGTAGTTTGATGTTAAATCTCCTTCTGACACATCTCGATTTTGATTTATACATCTACTGCTAAAGTTCTTATCTCAAGTTGCTCCTAGTGGGAGATACAGACCCACAGAAAACCTGTAATTACAACATGGAGTGCTAAGGGCTGTGATAGGAAGAATGGGAACCTTGGAAAGCACATAGGAAGGGTTTCTAACCCACGTTAGAGGGGACGTCAGTGACAATTTTAGAAGGCTTTTCTTCCATACTGAGGTCTTAGAGATGCCTGGGAGTCAGCACCATGAAGGGGAAAAGAAAGAAGGGGGAGACATGCAAGTGTCTGACTGGGGGTTTGGGGGATGGCCAGGGACTAACTAGAGGGGTGAGTGTGTCTAAACACTTTGTTGTGTGAGGGCACATGGCAAGGTAGAAGTTCTGAGGGAGAGAAGAGTAAACATCACGGGAGATTATAAGACAGAGCAACTCTTTGAGTCGTAGGAAGCATTGAAAATTCATGCAGTGGTGTTGAACTGACTTATGCTGACTTGTGGGAGCTGATTTTAAATTTCCAGGGGTTACAAGCCAACATGTTTTTGGTAGCTTGAAACTGGCTATGGTGGGAGTAATTACACCTCAGAGACTGGCAATAGCCACAGTCATATTCCCACCCTCACCACTTCCCTCCATCTGTGGAAAGCCAGGTGTTAATTTTCCCCCATTGCCACTGAAAAAGTATGGACAGGCCATGTACTTATTTGAAATGTAGAAATATCATTGTAATTGCAATGTAGAGTGTGTTGGAAGGAGTAAAGGCAGAGATTAGTTGATTAGGAGTCTGATAGAGGAAACCAAGCAAATGATGGATATATATAGACTTCAGTGGAAGAAAAGGTATTTCTAGTAATATTTGTGTGATCATCTTTCATTATTAAGTTTTACTTCTCTCCTGTTATTATAAATAAATTATTTCTTTTTGTTTCCAAAAGATACCTACTAACAGATTTTGATTCAAACATATTGACAGCCTGTAGTGGACATGTGATTGCCCCTCCTCCCCCTCCCCAGTATCCATTCCATCCTCAGACTGATGGCAACCTTGGGATTCTGGTGGCATTAACCCCACCCTGTGCCCTAGGGAGACCCCATGGTAGATGTACATCCATCAGCGCAGTTCTGTGCATGATCGTGTTAGCCCATGGAGTTTCCCTGGGCCAGGGTGCATGCAGTTGCGGAGCCCTCCTTATTAGTTGAAGGTGTTTTATTTTTTAAAAACATGAAATATGACCTTTCTTTTGATCATATTTGGGAACTGAGATACAGCTAGAAGTAGGAGATGTTAGTAGCCATAATAAAAACCAACCTAACTATGAAGCTGAAGGCAACATAAGAGAATTTCAGAAAATAGAAATCAAACTCTAATCTAACAACACCTGAAATTTAGCCTATATGTGCAATTGGAATTCTCATGAACACATACATTTTGTTTTTATTACTTAAAAATGTTATTTATTGCTAATAATCAGATGCTGATTTGTTTTGCTTTACTTTAATTTGTTTTGGTTAACTTTTACTTAGCATCCACCCCATACTATTGCTGTAGTCCTATTTATTTTTTTCATTTTTGCAAGAAAACTCTCTTTATTTCAAGGCTTTAGAGATATTATTATTTTTCTTATTATGTTTTAAAGTTTTTTAATATGATGAGGCTCTAATATATCTTTTTATAATTACTTCTTCTATTAGCATGACATCTTCTTCCTCCTCCTCCTTTTGGAAAGCTAATAATTCCAGGAGTTTTTATTGACCATCCCATCACTTACTATTCAAGCTCACATACATGTGTGCGTCTATTTAAAGCTTCCTATTCCAGGGACATTTTTATTGTTGTTGTGAAAATACCACAATGTTTAAGATGCATGATATAACCATTTGGAGTGGTATGAAATGTAACAATATTAATTCTTCCAACCAGTGAAAATAGAATATGTTTCCATTTACTTGTGTCTTCAATTTCTTTTATTAATGCCTCACAGTTCTCAATTATTCTCTTCAATTGTATAATTTTTCCTTTCAAGAGCTTGCTCATCTTCTGTTATATTTACATCCACCAGTGAAGGTAATTTTCTTCCTTTTTAAAAGATCAATCTCTATCATTAGTCTCTTGTCATCTGTGACAATTCCTCAGACTATCCTTGTTTGTCATGGCTTTGACAATTCTGGAAAGCATTGCTCAGGCGTTCTGTAGAACATCCTCTCAGTCTGGGTCTGTCTGGTATTGTCCCGTGACTGGCCTGGATTTACGTGTTTGGGGGAGGCTTCCACCCAGCTGAACTGCCCTTTTCATCACCTCGTATCAGGACGCCCAGTCCATCATGACATGAACATGACATCTTTGGTGAAATTTACCGCGATTGCTTGGTTAAGGTGGTATCTGTGAAGGGGCTCAGAACACACATGTCTCCCCAGGTTTGCCTCTGGCATGTGGAGTATTTGGAGTTGAAGCAATCAACACCCCGCAGGCTCAGTAGAAACTTTTTCCCTTAACGCATGGAAGAATCTAAACTGGGGGTCTTTCCCACAGTAAGTGTAGTTACCAAAAATAAATTTTATCTGAGTGACCCAATTATACAGCAGGGCCAACATCTAGTTAACAAACATCTGCTCCTCTAATTGCCCTGTGAATTGCACTCTTGTGTGGGGGGGTTCCTCTATGTACAAAGTTAAATTGATTCTCTCGTGTTATTCTGTTTCATGTCAGTTCAGCTAAGACCAGCTGGAAGAACCTTAGAAGGGCAGAGGAACATTTTTTCTCCCCAACATCTGCCACATGTCTCGACTGCAAGTTACTATTTGTTCTTTTCCTTTATTGATTAGAAGTGAGTTAATAAGTCCAATCCACATTCAGGGGTAGGAGAAATGCACTCCTCTTTCTGGAGAGTGGAATATCCAAATGCAGACATTTGTTAAAACCACCGCAGTAATAAGTTATTCAAATATCCTGTCTCTCCTCAAATCTTTTCCTTCTGATTTCAGCCTTCGTATACTACAGATTTAGCCTGCATAAATTACTACGATTATGTTCAAAAGCTAATTTTTCTGCTTTCCTCATTTCTTCTTTATTATTTGAGTTATTTTGTAAAGAAGATTTCTCCTTTGTCTCTCATTTATTTTATCAGTATAGACTTGTTAACCTTAAAAATAAAACAGATATTTCACTCACAAAAAAGGGTTTGCTTGGGAATAGCAGAGAATCGCCATCTGGGATAAGCAAGCTACTACGAAACTATAGGTAAGTTTGCAGAACAAGGGAGATTAGCAGTGTCTTATAGAGGAAGGGCCCTGTTGGAAGGAGGGTTTCTATGAACCTGGGTGTCCTGTGTCATAGCTTCTAATTGGCTGAGTTGTGACAATGTCTCATTGGCTGGGCGGTTGCTGGGGCCAAAGTAGGAAACTTCCCCGATTCTGCTGGGGAGTATTAGAACAGTGTGCCCACCATCTCTTCTGGTAGGGTCTCAGAGTTAGCACGAGTGATGGGTGTGAGAGCTCCCCCTGCTGGCCTCCTGATGCCATGTGAGTGAGATTTCCTTTTAGTAATTTTCAGATTCATGGATATTTACCTTACTCTTTGGGTTACGACCAATAACCATTTCTTTTATTGTTCAAATTGTTCCAGCTTTATTCATTGTGAGCTGAGCAGGCTCTTGTGTAGTTTTGACATGCCTCCAACCTTTCCTCCCCTTTCTAGTACTTTTTTTTATTTTCTAGAGCCACAAGATACTTCAATCATTTATGTATTTTTATATTTGGCAGACAGACTTTCAGTTTCTACAGGGAGCTCTGGTTTCTTTTGGGGGGACTATACTTACAAAACCTGATCTATATGAAATGTGCTTATTGCTACTGGGTGTCACTGCAGTTAGACCCCCTTAGTGGACAAGGCTAAGAAATACCTGTGTATACATTAACCCATGTGCACACGTCTATGTTTATTTCTGTATCTATTACCTGTACATATATAATGACACTTGAGTTCATGCTGATACCTCCTGTTCAGATTTGGCCCTATGGGCCCCACCTTGCTCATTTATAATTTGAAAGTAAGAAAGTGGCAACAACTATCCAACATTTATTTACCAGTGTATTTAACCTTACTATACATTTAAATGTGTTGAAGAATTGCTAACCCATGTTCTTGTAGGAAGTAATATTACCACCTAGAGTACAGCATTTATATGCTGTTCTTTTTACCTTCAGTAGTAAGGTATGCAGGTGTTAGGGGGAAAAACATTCCTCTGCCTTTGAAGGTTCTTCTAGCTGCTCTTAGAATCCAGTTGACCTGAGACAGATTAACAAGAGACACTAAAATTTAATTATGTGCTTCTGGTGAATCAATACAGACATGAGATTCTGGGGAATCTATACAGACATGAGATACATCTCTCCATATATCCTGACTACGTAAGGGGTTATCCATCCTTTGACTTCCATTGTCCAAGTCATACGGTTAATTCCTTTAAAACAGCCCAACTGCCAGTGTAAAGGGTTAACAGGCTGGGCTAATAAGTGACCTTCCTGAGTTGGCCTGCTGGCTGCTGCATGAGAAGCTCTTCCCCGAAGAGCAGTGTACCTGCCAAGAGTTGTGAATTTACCTCGTTTTACCTGACTTTGTTTGGAGCTTCATGTTTATGTGGATGCCGTGTACGTATATAATTAAATTTGTTTTTCTCCTATTAATCTGTCTTATGTCATTTTCATCATTCAATCAGCTGAAAGAACCAGGAAGGAATGGGGGAATTTCCCCTCTCCCCAACAACTGAGCTGTGCATTCGTTCATACATTCAATTTATCCATTCATTAATTCACTCAATAAACATTGAATTCCTATTATGTGTTTTGACTTTGTGTTAAAATTTCAAATAAAGTTATAAGCTGTAGAACTATTTTGTCCCTATTTTCATTGAACAATAACTCACTAAGTCAGATGTTTTAAAGAAAGCCCCAACCACATAAAGGGGCTGTGTGAACTGTTGACAGC